AAAATGAATGGGCCCCTATCCCCAGACTCCCGGGATTTGGTCTGGAGTTTCTCTTTGTTTTGCATGTGCGGGTTTCAGTGCGCTCGAAGCTGCAAGAATCATCATGTGTTCAATGTGGTTGCTGTGTGTCGTAAAACAAAAAAAAACAAAAAACACTGGAAAACCGGTTTATCAAACAAAGCCAGACTTGAATCCGATAACGGAATCGGTGTTGACTTTTTGCCTTTCAATCCTCAAATGACCAGAGAAGGTAAAACACAAACAAAAGCGCTGTATTTTACAGTGTTCTCAGACATGTGAAAGAAAGAGACATGCAGAGTAGGTAAGACACTTTCCAACTATAGTGAAAGGTAGGCCCGGGAGGGGGGAGGGGGGGGCGAGTGACCGTGTATGTATAAATATATATATATATATATATATGTATATATATATATATACGTGTGTGTGTGTGTGCGTCCGCAAGGTAATACATATACATGTGTATATATTATATATGTACACATTATACATACACATGAATAACAGTAAGGGCACCACAAGTTGCAGACATTGGGCACATGCATTTGTAAAACAGGACCTGTGATTGATTCACTGATTTGCAGAAGAAGCTGCTGGCGCTTCATAGCAGCCCTAGTTGGTGAACTGGGGTATGCCGGCAGCATTTTGCCTCGGCACCGGGCATCATGGCATTGCTACAGGTCAATTGCATCGCACCAACCTATGCAAGGATGAGACCACAACAAGAATACCGCTGACACCCCACCGACTTTTGCAACTCAGCGACGAACTTGCTCAACCAAAACAAGACCCCGAACCACATCCAAAAACCCAAGGCCTCCTGGATTTCTCGCGCCGAAGGCGCAGTTGCTGCCATCTACGACCCCAGGTAGATCACAGGCGAGCGCTGTGCTTTCGGTGGCCAGGTAGGCCGTCATGGGCTGCAGCGGGGGAGGAGGCTCCTCTGGGCTTTCAACGGGATACGGATCAATACATTTTGGGAAGATGGGGCTTCCAACCGTGGAAGCACCAATGCTGGCGTTCTTCTTCTTTGCTCTGGGCTGTCCATGCTTTTTCCCAAATCGGCTCCTTCTCTTTGCCAAATGGACCAACCAGCACCTGTGTTTGCGCTTGGGTGGTTTTGAGGCTGGCTTCAACGGGAGGGTAACGGATCAACAAACCCCGGGATGAAGACGGGGCTTCCAACCATGGAAGCACCCAAAACCCCCAACAATCCGCAAAAGGTGCACTGCTGGGTCAACATCAATCAGCTCACACCTACGTATGATATTTAGGGGGCCCTTTGTCGGACATCATCTACATCACAGGGGGATTTAGGCTCACCAACCATTTTTGAGCTGATTGACCATCAGAGTCCGCAGCCGAACGTCTCTGCTCCTCTTGTCGCCCCAGTCTCCACAAAGTGCCGTCGTCTTGCAGCCTCGACAACGAGACTCTGCAAGCATCAACATCAGTTGGAGGTTTACGAAATATGGCCTTTGCGCTTACTGGTAAAGGGAATGCCAACAGGGGCCCCGATTTGAGCCAAATTCGCCAGCTGCGTACAAGGCGCTCCTTTCGAAGCTCCATGTTCTCAATCACCACTCGCTCGTACTCGGCACTAAGGGCCATCAGGTGGCGATGGAACGGCGTATCTCCGAAGGTCATGGCTCCAGCGCGCTTTCGCGCTTGCGCGCTTGCGCGCGCGAGCCACACACGGAGCGAACAAACCTGAAGACCTGCTGGTCGCTGGGCGGGGCGCCTAGATCAAATCACACCAAACCGGAGAAGAAGCGTGCCTGCGGGAAAACGGCGCCAGAGTGGGTGCTCTTCTCTGCGACAAGGCTAAGCTCTGTGGGACTGGGCCAAAGCGCCACGTGATGCAAATATCTGCATGCTTGATTCAAGTTCCAGGACTGGAGCTCCTCACTTCCGCCAGTTGGATGAACTGGGAACACTGGGATTCGGATAAAGCACCTATCAAGTGGCGCGAAGCGGCTTTTGTCCATCCACAATTCGGGGCAGTTCTGTCGCTTCAAACCTGGAGAACTTCGGGCTTTCCGAGGCCAATCCAGGGCCCCCAGTAACCTCGGTCAGACACCAGCATCTCGAATCTGAAAACACGGAACACCGCAAAACGGGTGGCTTCTCTTTGGTACTCCCTTCAGACAACCCCAAATGCTAAAATAGAACGGAGTACCGAGCCTCGAGGGTCTGTCTTTTGAAGGGAAACCAAAAGAAAAACCGTTGCATCATTTTGGGGGATCCTTAAAAGAACGAGCCACCCATTTACCCCAGGCGAAAACCGTTTTGCACGAAAAAACTGTGCACTCGAGGGGCCGTGATAGGCATCACGAGCTTTCCGGCAAGCACCCGGATCTTTGGAGCCCCTGGCCGGGGAGTACACCGTGGCTTGCAGCTCCTCCACCCGTGCCAGCATGCTCCGGAAGATGGAGCTCTGCTGCATGGACAGCCTCACTCTGAAAGCTTGAGCGCTGACAAACGAGAAAAGCAGTCTGAAGAGGAAGCCATTCTGAGGAAAAGCCTAGAAACAAACAGAATGCACCGGAGTGCTCGCCTTATGAGGTGGAAAAAACCCTTCTAAGGCAGCTGTACCCAACTGCCAGCCGAGCAACGAAGTAGTTTCAGCAGGATCTGCGAAGATGTCCTCAGTGTGCCCACGCCGCGTCAAAAACAGCTTTCAACGCTTTCTATTGGGATGGTGGGACTCCAAATCCCAAATTTGACACATACCCAGCGGCTCCGAGCCAAGCGTCAAAGAGGCAGCCATTCTCCGCTCGGCGTCCGCAGTGGCGCGGGTGCAGCAGCGGTACCAAGCTGCTGGAGGAGTTGGGCCAATTGGGACCTGTGAGCACCTCGTTCCGCGTTCGGCGAAGTCGCCGTGGGCTTCTGGTCATCAAATCTGGTATTAAGATGGTGCACCCAAAACAATGAAATGATTCAAAAAGAAAATATGCGCAATGCTTGGGATTGGCCCGCCTTCATTTCGAATCGGCGATGGCTTCCCTTGGGGGTCCCCTTCTTAGGAAATCAAGTGGAATGCACAAGCTACACCAACAACCATGGTCTGGTTCACGTCCGGCCCCTATTCGGCCGACGACTTTCCTTTTTAGAAAAAGGTTCTTTGTGCATCAAGCCATCTAGGGACGGTCAAAGGTCCGAGTTGCATTCTGGCTGACCTGCTCTCGAAGGCCCAAGGAGTTCCACTTTCTCGCGTCAATGCCCACCAGGAGCTTGTATCTGTCAGATGCCACGGGCCATGTCGTCTTTTCGGAGGCTACCATCAAAAAAAAGACGAAACAGAAAGGAAACAGCATCACTTCTTTGGGATGTCCCATTTATGACACACACAAGAAAACATGCTGCTACCACACGGAAGTCCAGCCTGCCCTTGATGAGTCCGCCAATAAAGGTCCCACCATCGGAGTTGGGCGTCATGGAGGATGTCTCGCCAATGATCACTTCCTCCCTTGGGGAGGATGAGACAGCTCCAAAGAGCCATGGCATCACATCCTGCCGCTCAAAAAAGAATGCCAACCGTACACTCCGTTGAACAAATCTTGAAAGCAGTGTTCCTGCTCCTGGCTCGTTCTTCCTTGCAAATCTGTGTCAAAACAGATGTTCTCGTGGTTCCCCTTTCAACCAACGTGAAAAGTTTCAACTCAAACAAAGCGCGCCCACATGCACACATACACAAAAACACACACACACACACACACACACACACACACACACACACACACACACACACACACACACACACGCACACGCACACGCACACTCACACTCACACTCTCACACACACACACACACACACACACTCTGGGTCCATTGAGATGACATCCTCAAGATTTCCGTTTGGATGTGGCTCAAAGGAAACACCCAAAAACGTTTCGAAAGCAAATCAACATTCAAGGGGATGAACCTTCCAAGGTTGCCTCCAGTACCCCTGTGGTTCACCCAATGGGAGGTTCACTTGAATGCACGGTAATTGGTTGTCAAAACTAGGGACGCTTGGTCCCTAAAAGGGACCTATGGGTGCGTCTCAAAATCGGAAATACCAAAAAAACAAAAAAGAGACGGCTTTTTTGCTTGGTGTTTTGTTCGCAACCGGCCCCAAAAGGGAGTACCCCCAAAATTTCGGCGCGTTCGAGTCATTTTCGATCCACCACGCGCCTTCGAGTCATGCGGCGGGAGGCCTGCCGCCTGCGCCCGGTGGTCCGTGGGGTCCACGCCCGCCAGGCCCGCGAAGCTGGCGTACCTCCGGCGTTTGGCGGCTCGGTTTGTTCTTCTTTGGCGCGGAGGAGGAAGGAGCACGGCCCTTGCGCAAGGGTTTTCTGGGCAACTTAACTTCAAGGTCCTTGAAAGGAGCTGAAAGGCCCGATCCTTTTCTCCGGACCTCGGACGTGCCTGTGAAATGAACGGACTGCGTGCAGACATGGTGGACTGCAAGGAACACTCAAATTGGATTATCAATATCCTCTGTCGCAGAATCCTAAAGTTGACGACTACACTCCTGTCGAAAAGTCCCCTCGGCCGCTTCCATGATTGATGGAAAGAAGGCCACTCTGCTATTGTTTACACAAGCTGCAATGTTTGCCGCGCTTAACTAAAACCGTTGAAATGATTGTCCCTTACCTGTGTGTAGACAGTAATTAATAGAAGATTCCTCGTGCGTCTAGTTTTGCAGCCATTGGATTGTTGCGTTCACGCCCCAGACTTTGGCACAGTGGTGGGCGCTGACGTTCACATCAGCTTGGGGCGCGCGTTGACTTTCACATTTTCACGCACCCGCGTCGGAGATCAAATTGAAGATGGGGTGGGGAAGGGAGGGGATGCTGACGTTGACACTGGGATGCACCTGGATAAGAGGTCATGTTGCAGGTCCTTGTGTCTTGCTTCATGTTGCTTAAGGGCTTCTACAGTTGAATCGACATTGTGTACTGAATTTCTGGCTTCCCCGCTTTGACGCGCACTGAGGCAGCCTTACAGGCCTGGATGGCGGGACACGTGTGTCAAATGGCGGTCAACACCGGAGCTCGTGCAGCGTCACGTAGGATGCACCTTACACACCCTTGGCAGTCAATGTTGTGCGTGATCAAGTACACAAGCCAACTGCGATGTGGAGAGCCCAACCAAGCCCAAAAGCGCCTGCCCGAATATAACCAGGTTGAGCCTGTGGTCTCGGCCAGAGTCAAACCAGCCTTGAGCTATCAGGAAGCTTCTCCTTCTGGTGCCGTCGTCTGCAATGGAGTTTTGCAACGGCCTTGCGCGTCGGCTTCCGAATTTTGTTTTGTGCGCAACTGTCTTGTGACTTGAGGTTCGCTGTTCCTCGTCCTTGCTTTAGGCATTCCTCGCTGAGATGTGCATCAGATCCCGTGGCTTGAGCCTGTCTAAGGCATTCCTCGCGCATTGGCGCCGAGATGAACTGACAGGGTCTTGTCCACCTCTGTGTTCGCGGGGGGTGGGCAATCGAAGTGGCCGGGCAGCAACACAGTGCATTTATCGCGCGTGGAGAGGCACGCACACAACATGCACCTTCAGCGAAAAATATGTGCAGCTGGTCGTTTGACTCAATTCTTTAGACTTGATTGATTTTCGTGGCAGAGGTGCAAATGCTGTGTCCATGCCAGGATTGTTTCGCAAAGCCAGAGCCGTTTTGGAAAACACGCGTGGCAGACCGCTTGCCGACGACCTCTCAAAATTGCCGGTGACTTTGTTTATCGCTTGAAATCACGTTTTTTTTTGTTTTTTTTGATATCTATGCGCACAAACACATATACACATATACACCCATATGTTGTATGGCATGTCTGCATATGTATATACAGCATACTTATACACATATACCTATGTATATAGATATATGTGTATAACATATATATATATATATAACATGTATATTTATATAGACATTTATATATATAGATATATATATATGTATGTATTTGATGTGTATATACACGCCAAATACAACCGAATGTCCGACAAACCGACTTGGAGGCGCCAGTCCCACGCGGTCACGAAGCCCTCCAGCTTGCTGCCCCGGCCTCGAGTCGGCGACCAAACAAAAGCGGCCGTCCGAAACCAGGAACCGAAGCCGAAGCCGGCGGAAGGAAGAAAGAAAACAAGGAAACTGAGAATAAGCCAAAATAATGATAAGAATAATAATAGGAATAATAGCAATAAGATGCAGAATAATAATGATAAAAATGATAAATGATAAAAATGGGAACAATGATAATGATAATAATGACAATCATGACAATAATTCCTCGTTCCCCATTTGATAAAAGATAGGAATAATAATAAAAGTGCGATAAAAGCCTGGTACTGCAAACTGAGAAAGGACGTACAGCCTGGTACTTTAAAAAACGATTATAATAATAATGACAAGTCTGGTGCTCCAAACTTAAAGCCCCATTCTCTTTTGTTTAGCCCCCCTTATGTCCCACCTGTTGTTTCTTGATGCTGCGATAGGTAGGGAATGGGAAATGGAATGAACCTGGGGATTCCCAAACAAAGCAGTTGGATGGCGTATCTCAGGGTCATTCCATTTCTCATTCCCTGCTGAGCACCAACAAGACAAAACCAAGGTGGGAAATAAGGGGGGGCTAAACAAAAGAGAATGGGGGCTTGGGGCACCAAACTTTGTTTGATGACCATGGAATTTGGACTTGACTTTTGATCGGGAACCTGAAATGGTGGACTATCATATGAATGTCCACCAAACACTTTCAAGGGATCCTTGTTAAATGCATAGCCATTTGGCCTGATTCGACGACCAAGGAACTTGATGAGAACAAGTGTGGTTTCCTCTGCGTTTCCTCTGACCGTTTCTTCCCTGACCGCTTCCAGCCTGCGTTTTTGTCCCACGTGTTTGTCCCTATGTCTCGCTATGTCTCCCCATGTTTCCCCACTGTGGATGGGCGATATCCTGCACCACTTTGAAACCATCATCACTCCAAGGTTTCTTAGGCAGGATTTCGTCCGTCAGCATGCCTTCCCTTTTTTCTTCTTCCACACTCAGACTTTGCACCTGAGTACATGGGAAAGACTTTTACCTGCTTCACCCCAACACTTTGAGCCACCTTCCGAGCTTCCGACGGGCTGGCGGCACTCGGCCGCCGCTCACCAGAGCATTGACTCCTTGGCCCAACACAGCCCTGGCAACCCAAAGGTGATAATGCTTCTTCAGGTGATTACCGGACAAATTCAGCAGAGTATCGCTTTTGGGTAGGCCGGCGTATGGCGGTACTACCCAGGTGTCGGCCACTTGATGTGTCAAGATCAGCGTTTGAAAAAATAGCGGACCACCCCGCCCCCCCCCCCCAAATCGGGTGGGATTTCCTTGCGGTTTCCCTTGACACTATCCAACTCAAAGGAATCGCCTTAAAACGGCTGCCTTTCGTTGGCTATGGCCACGCATCGGCAAGGCCTTTCTTTGTCTGAACCTTGCAATGCTGTGTGTGTGTGTGGGCCAAATCCTGAACCAGTTGGGATGGATGAAACCCTCTTACCCCCTGATGCGAATTGGATTTTGCACTGGCGTGCTGAGATCAAAACAAAGTGTCGACCCAGGCATGATGGCTTCGGTCGAGAAGCTGATGCCGCCCTCGAAATTGGAGAACTTTCCTGCCGAGTCTGATTGCCGCAGCACGCTCCACGATTGTTTCCACTACCCCCAAACCACTTCCCGAGGAAAATAGGGGGCATACCGGCATACCTTTCTATAACGGACTATATAGCGGTTGCGCATCCCATGCTTTGGGGGTAGTGGACACCATCGTAGAGATGTCCTGCTTGAATGTTCGACCGGCTTAGGCAACAGGTTATAACCTCAGTTGTAAAGGGTATAAACGGGGGTGACATACAGCCATAGTTGCCAAATTACTCGTTCCCCCAAGAGGACGCAGGAAACTTGGTGAGGTCCCAGTTTTTGTGGTTGAAATTCAGCTCGTCCCCCACGCCCCTTGAACCGTGGACTGCAGGATTTCTTTGACCGAACCGCCTCCCCTTGTCAGCCAATATGGGTTTATCTCCAAATAGGAGAACCCCCAAAGGTAAAAAGACTATGGCTCCAACCTGCTAACTAGGATAGGCTTCCACTTTCTGCGAAAGCGCCCGCCTCCTCGCAAAGGCCAATTGTTACCGCCGCACATCCCAGCACCCATGATCTCCCCGCCATTGTCGCCTAACGGTAAGCACTAAGCTCTGTTTCTTGGTAGCCCACCAGGAATGAATCGAACAAAAGCAGCAAAATCATAGACCCCAGATAGCTGGGAGATTTGACCAACACTGCTTCCGCTCCAGCAAAGCAAAAAACAGAAAGCATGCCAAGAACGACGAAGTTACTGTGAAACCTTCCCCCCCCACTACGAATGGACAGGACAAAAGGCAAAAATAGAAAGCATGCCAAGATGTAAAGGTACTGTGGAAGACCACCAACGTGTCCTCCCACATGCCCCGCTCCTGACAAGGGTCTGTGTGTGTGTTTTTGGAGTTGGTACCCTCTGCAGGTAGGCTTTTAGGCATGCAACAACGAAAAACGTGGACGCCGTCAATGGTTCACTCCCACCAAAATCGAAGAACAGACTTTGATTCTCGGACGACTACCTGTCGAGGACCGCGGGTGTACTCGGCCACCTTCTGACTCTGTTCCTTTGGGGGGTGAGAGCCCCAAAAATGGCGCAACGCGCTTTTCCTTTGGGTTTCCCTTAACACCAAAAAAGGCGCACCCTCAGAAAAAGACACGCCCAAAACATACTTTCTGACGTTCCATACTTAGTCTGCCCCAAAAGAGGAGTATGTTTGGAACTGTTCAGAGGCAATGCCAAGTCCTTGAGCAACTTCACCATCTCCCCGATCTCCTCATCCATGAAGCTGACCATGGCACGCATCATTCGACGGTGTCGGTCTTTGATGAAAGCGAACCTCACAGCCACAAGACAAGCCACGATGCACTTGTTGGCCACTCCTCCCCAACCCATTCAGCAATGCTCTACCACACAATTAAAGCAGCTGCAACGCTACCCAAAAACCTGGGCATTGGCTCGGTCATTGACCAACTCTGCTTTGTTTCCCTGCCTTCACCTGCTGAATGGGTTTGATTTCAAACCGGGGTTCCGAAAGCGGTAACAAACACACACACACACAGACACGCACACACCTTAGTTCTCCTTTGGCGCACGGGGGTTCCAACCAGATGGTTTGTTGGAACCCCCCCTTCAATCCAGTTCAACCCCATTCAATCCAGTTCAGTTCCCAAACAAGAAAAAACACACCGTTTTTGTGCGGTACCCCTTTTCGGGTGCTTGAAAGGCAAACCAAGCGGAAAACCCGTTGCGCCACGGGGGGTCCAACCGTCAACTCTATCCTGCCTGTCTTCGTAGGCCTTGGGCACCTGCCCAGAGAAAAAAGACAAAATGCATCTGAAAACAACCCGTACATTCATGCGGCTATGAATATTAACGGGGAACCTGGTTGGTGGACACCAATCTAGGACCTACACGCTGTCCACCAAAGGGTCCCTAATTGAAATTCATGCCAATATGGCTCTTGTGACACAGATTACGGATACGGCTTCAAAAATGGACCCATGTGGTTGGTTGGCTTGAAGCAAATCAATTGCTTGTGAAAAAGGCCTGGCTTGATTGATAGGTGTGAACGGCAGGGATGACCGAAAAGTGTCAGTTGTTCAAACCATGATGTAGAAAAGGGCAACCCCCACCCCAATAGTGGTTTTCACCCACACCCCTTTCCAGCAGTTGCTCAAACCACAGTCGTCCAATCGCGGCCCCCAACGAAGCCTGCGGAAAACAAACACACCGGCATAGACCCCAGATAGCACACAACGGCTACGAACCATGATGACAGCATCATGATGATGTTGACAGTATCATGATGATATCACAGCCACTCAGCATGGTGCGCTAAATAGCCTCGCAGACAACGTCCTAAAAAGTTCAGCGGCATAATGATGATGTTGACAGCATCATGCTGACACACCCCGCTACATATCTAGCAGAAAAATGGCAGAGACGACGTCCTGATGAGTTCGACAGCATCATGATGATGCGGACAGCTTCATGGTGATGGGCAAGGCAGCATCATGATGATACCACAGCCACGAATCATCTTGCGACAGCGTAATGAATTCAGCATCATCCTGATGTTGACAGCATCATGCCGCCACCACACCCACGAACCATAACGCAGCGTTGCAGTGATTCCAGCAGCAATATGATGCGGCTGACAACATCAGATACACCAGCCACGAACCATTGCGCGCGACGATTAGAGCAGCAACAACGCCCGAATCGGTCAACAGCATCATGATGCTGCCCATGATGATGACACGACCACGATTCTCCAAACAGCACTCGCCCTAGCACCCTGCCATTTATATGCGCCCGCACCGTCGCGGCACCCGCGCCAGCACCATACATGTCCCCGAGCACCCTGCCGTCACACACTGTCACCAGCACCTCAACCGAACAGCACCCCAAAACCGCACCTGCGCCAGTACCCCAAAGTGCATTTCCAGCCGTCGATCTTGCAAAACAATTCCCCTTCTTCATTGGAAGTTAGAACCCCTATGGCCTTCAGCTATCTGGGCAATAAGCTGCCGCGCGGTCAGCAGCACTTTCACCACCGCCCCAAACTGCATGCCCCTAGCACCTGCTGGCAATCTCGGAAAATTGCGCCCAGAACCTCACCAGCACCTCAAACAGCACCCCAAACAGTACCTCCAAACAGCACCTGCATCAGCACCCCAAACTGCGCGCGGCCATCAAATGCACCTGCACCATCACCTAGCACCCGCTGTCCTTTTAAACAGCACAGGCACCAAACAGCACCTCCTCCATCACCGCAAAATTGCATCCACTGCCCCAAACTGCATGCTTCCAGCCCGGCCGTCAATCTCGCAAAACAGCACCTCCACCAGCACCCCAAACTGCATTCCCCGTAGCACCCGACCGTCAATCTCACAAAACAGCACCTCCACCAACACCCCAAACTGCATGCCGCCAAGCTCGCAAAACACACACCCACTAGCACCCCAAATTGCATGCCCTCTAGCACCCGGCCATCACTCTCGCAAAACAGCACCTCCACCAGCACCCTAAACTACATGCCCCTTAGCACTCGGTCGTCAATCTCGCAGAGCAGCACCTCCACCATGTCCACCAGCACCCCAAACTGCATGCCCCCTAGCACCCGGCCGTCCTCGCAAAACAGCACCTCAACCAAAAGTCCAAACTGGTAGCACCCGGCCGTCGAGCTCGCAAAACAGCACCTCCACCAGCACTCCAAACTGCATGCCCCGTAGCACCCGGCCCTCAATCTAGCAAATCACTTTCCCTTCTTTATTAGAAGTTTGCACCCCTATATTTCAGCTATCTGGGGAGAAAGAAAAATGTTCCTCCTGCGGCTCATGTTTCCCCCTCCCCTTTCCAACAGTTCTTCAAACAACAGTCCGACTGCCCAACGAAGGCTTCAGCAACTGAATTGGGCTCCTTCATTTTTTTTATCTTGGCTACCTGGACCGAATCGCCTGCCTTTACACCAGCTCAAACGACAGTCCAATCGGCCAACGAAGGCTTAACTAAGCACTTGGCTCCTCATTCTTCTTGTTTTCAACCTGGCCTGCAAGGGCATGTGCACCAAGTGCATGGACCAGAAGAGGAACAGCGGCTCCGCGACGTCGTGGGCTCGGACCACCGCCTTGGCCGCCGCCAAGAGCTCCGACTCCTCGAAGACGCAGCGCTGGCCATTTGGCGCCTGGGCTGGGCGTGGGGCGTGGGGCGTGGAGGGGGTGGAGGGGGTGGAGGGGGTGGAGGGGGTGGAGGGGGTGGAGGGGGTGGAGGGGGTGGAGGGGGTGGAGGGGGTGGAGGGGGTGGAGGGGGTGGAGGGGGTGGAGGGGGTGGAGGGGGTGGAGGGGGTGGAGGGGGTGAGGGCAAGGGGTGGGGTGGAGGAGTAGAGGGGTGGAAGGGTTGAACAGGGCGGGTTGAAGTTGGGGAGGGGAGAGGGGGGGATTAAGGCTGAGGGGTGTTGGGGGGCTTCAACATCCATGACCTCCTCATGGTTGGTGTCCCTCAAGGGCGCCATGGGGCTGTCGCATTTTGCCCCTGCCTGGTTCTTTTGGGAGCAGGCAGGTCCGTTCTGCAGGTCCAAAGCCGGGCCGTCGAAGGTGGCATTGAAGCGCCAAAGGTCGCCTTATGATTTTGGGGGCAGTATGGCTCTGTAGCTCGCCCAATAAATAATCTTATTCGGCACGTTAAAAAGGAACTTTAAAAAGCCGACTGCACGTTTAATACCCTTCTGTCCACTAACATGGAACCTGACTGACAGGACCCCTCAAAACCATTCGCCTTCAAAAGGGACGCTCGGCTGAGTTCTATGTCAGACAGGAGAGTATATTGTTGTCCCTGGTTCCAAAGCGCGCCTTTCCCAAGATCCATAATATCCATGGCCAGTGGCGCATGGATTTCAGGCCACACTTCCCGGCCGTGTGCTGCCAGTAGTCGTTGGAATGATGCCAGTACCCCAGCCAAGTCTCGTAGCCCCGGGCGCGGGGATGGTGCTCCAACGTGGCCATCCCCACATCCCACTTGCCTCTTTTCGCGCTTCGTTCCGGATCAAAAACGTGCCCCACTTTTAAAGGGATTTGTGACAAATGGGTGTCTCTTTTTGAGAGACTGTACCCTCTTTAGCTTGGTTTAAGGGAGGCCAAAAGGAAATCAACTGTTTTGGGGGTCCCCTACTTTGAAACAAAGCCAATCCAACTCCAAATGCAAAGCGTCTAAAAGTCTCAGGAACACTGGAAACCGCCAAGTTGCCAACAATGTGCGTTCGATAGCCCGCACGACGTAACAAAGACGCCATCCCAGACATGTTCACCGGAATCCCTTGGAAGCCACCTTCCACGTCATTGCCGTTGACACATTCCGGGTTCACGTTCTGGACATTGACGTGGATAGGATTTCGCCCAGTCTGAATAGCGCTCCTTGCCGGAGAGCAAAACTGGAAGGTGTAGAAGCGGTCAAGCTCAATACCGGACCTGCATCGCGAATTCCAATGGGGACATCCTTTCTTGTGGGTACGGTATTTGGGTTGCCTCAAAGGCAAACCAAAGGGGAGCGACCCCTTTTTGAGGGTTCCCTCAAACAAAAAATCGGAAACGAGCCAGAAAAGCTTGCAGGCCTTGCCAAGGCGTCAATGTTCGGCGTCTGCACTTCCCTGTCACCCTCCGCGCGATGAAATCCTCAAAACGAGGATCGCCGGAGCCAAACCACGGCCCGGGACGTTCTCAGGGCTCGGTGTGGGGCATCCAAACTTTTTGCGTCTGTGTGTGTGTGTGAAGTTGGATTATCCCCACCCTGAAATGGAAACCTGAAATCGAAATGTGGCCCGCGGTCATGCGTGATTTCCCGTTTGTGGGGCAAACCATGGGAATTGTACCAAAAGAGCACCCACGCCCCAAAATGGATTTGGACGCCCCCTGTACATCTTGAAGGTGTCTCAGAATCAGGAAGCCCTTGTTGCACGGCTCGTCGAGAAAAAGCCAAACCGGCCTGGAGGGTTCGTAACTTGGGGGGAATCTGGATGTTACTCTTGGTTCGAAGCCCGCGCCTACTTCAGCCCAGCCCAGATCATCAGCGAGGATGTGCAGGATGTGGGGCAAGCGAGCAGCCACCTAGACTCCATTCTCATCTTTGGAGTTGTCCTCCAAAACAGAGGGGATTCCATTACTGTCCACCTCGCTAAACAAGAAAGGCACTTGGGTTTGGCATCTGCCCTTTGCCAGCTCAAGAACGGCATTGGTTGGCACTAGCTTGCTGAGGGACACACCGGAAGCAGCAGCAAGAAACAAAGCTTCAAAGATGCCATTGCCATTCTCCAACAGCTTTGCTTGAATTTGTGTGTGTGTGTTGTGTGTTTTGCATTTGTGCGTATCAGTGTCTATCTCTGTGTGTCGCTGTGCCTGTCTGATTGTTTTTTTTGCTTGCGTTGTGCTGCCCCAGCTCGCTCGGCCGGCAAGCCCGTCCGAGCTGATCCGAAAAAGCCGCAGAAGCGGCTCCCGGAGCACTCAGCCGGACCACTTCAGAACAAATTCACAGCCACATCCAGTTCAAGCTTGAAACCTCTCACGCTGGCAGACACAAGCACAAAAAACACACACACAAGCTCACCGAAAATTGCGGCCGGGTGCACGACCAAATCAGCTCTAGTAGCTGGGAAGTGCATCGTCACAAGCACTCAGCCCCGAAAGATGATTCAGTACTCTCATCACCGGTCGCACCAGGCATGCCTGCTCAGACCAAAGTGTCAATCCCCCGTATGCCTCGACACACAAGAAGCCTACCAGAGCCGCAACCAATGCCACAAACAAAAAGACAACACTTGCCAAGAATGGCACGACCAAATCAGCTCTAGTAGCTGGTAAGTGCATCGTCACAAGCACTCAGCCCCGAAAGATGATTCGGTACTCTCATCACCGGTCGCACCAGGCATGCCTGTTCACACCAGAGTGTCAATCCCCCGTATGCCTCGACACACAACAAACCTACCAGAGCCGCAACCAATGCCACAAACAATAAGACAAAACTTGCCAAGAACTGCACGACCAAATCAGCTCTAGTAGCTGGCAAGTGCATCGTCACAAGCACTCAGCCCCGAAAGATGATTCAGTACTCTCATCACCGGTCGCACCAGGCATGCCTGCTCAGACCAGAGTGTCAATCCCCCGTATGCCTCGACACACAAAAAGCCTACCAGAGCCGCAACCAATGCCACAAACAAAAACACAAAACTTGCCAAGAACGGCACGACCAAATCAGCTCTAGTAGCTGGTAAGTGCATCGTCACAAGCACTCAGCCCCGAAAGATGATTCAGTACTCTCATCACCGGTCGCACCAGGCATGCCTGCTCAGACCAGAGTGTCAATCCCCCGTATGCCTCGACACACAACAAACCTACCAGAGCCGCAACCAATGCCACAAACAATAAGACAAAACTTGCCAAGAATGGCACGACCAAATCAGCTCTAGTAGCTGGTAAGTGCATCGTCACAAGCACTCAGCCCCGAAAGATGATTCAGTACTCTCATCACCGGTCGCACCAGGCATGCCTGTTCACACCAGAGTGTCAATCCGCCGTATGCCTCGACACACAACAAACCTACCAGAGCCGCAACCAATGCCACAAAAAAAAAGACAAAACTTGCCAAGAATGGCACGACCAAATCAGCTCTAGTAGCTGGTAAGTGCATCGTCACAGGCACTCAGCCCCGAAAGATGATTCAGTACTCTCATCACCGGTCGCACCAGGCATGCCTGTTCACACCAGAGTGTCAATCCCCCGTATGCCTCGACACACAACAAACCTACCAGAGCCGCAACCAATGCCACAAACAATAAGACAAAACTTGCCAAGAATGGCACGACCAAATCAGCTCTAGTAGCTGGTAAGTGCATCGTCACGAGCACTCAGCCCCGAAAGATGATTCAGTACTCTCATCACCGATCGCACCAGGCATAGGCATGCCTGTTCAAACCAGAGTGCCAATATCCAGTAAACCTCCACAGAACCAACGTACCCGTGCCACAAGCAATGCCACAAACAGTGACACAAGACTTGCCAAGAATGGCACGACCAAATCAGCTCTAGTAGCTGGTAAGTGCATCGTCACAGGCACTCAGCCCCGAAAGATGATTCAGTACTCTCATCACCGGTCGCACCAGGCATGCCTGTTCACACCAGAGTGTCAATCCCCCGTATGCCTCGACACACAACAAACCTACCAGAGCCGCAACCAATGCCACAAACAATAAGACAAAACTTGCCAAGAATGGCACGACCAAATCAGCTCTAGTAGCTGGTAAGTGCATCGTCACAAGCACTCAGCCCCGAAAGATGATTCAGTACTCTCATCACCAGTCGCACCAGGCATGCCCGTTCACACCAGAGTGTCAATCCCCCGTATGCCTCGACACACAACAAACCTACCAGAGCCGCAACCAATGCCACAAACAATAAGACAACACTTGCCAAGAATGGCACGACCAAATCAGCTCTAGTAGCTGGTAAGTGCATCGTCACAAGCACTCAGCCCCGAAAGATGATTCAGTACTCTCATCACCGGTCGCACCAGGCATGCCTGTTCACACCAGAGTGTCAATCCCCCGTATGCCTCGACACACAACAAACCTACCAGAGCCGCAACCAATGCCACAAACAATAAGACAAAACTTGCCAAGAATGGCACGACCAAATCAGCTCTAGTAGCTGGTAAGTGCATCGTCACAAGCACTCAGCCCCGAAAGATGATTCAGTACTCTCATCACCGGTCGCACCAGGCATGCCTGTTCACACCAGAGTGTCAATCAGCCGTATGTCTCGACACACAACAAACCTACCAGAGCCTCAATCAATGCCACAAACAAAAAGACAAAACTTGCCAAGAATGGCACGACCAAATCAGCTCTAGTAGCTGGTAAGTGCATCGTCACAAGCACTCAGCCCCGAAAGATGATTCAGTACTCTCATCACCGGTCGCACCAGGCATGCCTGTTCACACCAGAGTGTCAATCAGCCGTATGTCTCGACACACAACAAACCTACCAGAGCCTCAATCAATGCCACAAACAAAAAGACAAAACTTGCCAAGAATGGCACGACCAAATCAGCTCTAGTAGCTGGTAAGTGCATCGTCACAAGCACTCAGCCCCGAAAGATGATTCAGTACTCTCATCACCGGTCGCACCAGGCATTCCTGTTCAGACCAGAGTGCCAATCCCCCGTGCGCCTCGACACACAACAAGCCTACCAGTGCCGTATCCAATGCAACAAACAATAAGACAAAACTTGCCAAGAATCGCACGACCAAATCAATTCTAGTAGCTGGTAAGTGCATCGTCACCGGTCGCACCAGGCATAGGCATGCCTGTTCAAACCAGAGTGCCAATATCCAGTAAACCTCAACACACAACCAACGTACCCGTGCCACAAGCAATGCCACAAACAATAAGACAAAACTTGCCAAGAATGGCACGACCAAATCAGCTCTAGTAGCTGGTAAGTGCATCGTCACAAGCACTCAGCCCCGAAAGATGATTCAGTACTCTCATCACCGGTCGCACCAGGCATGCCTGCTCAGACCAGAGTGTCAACCCCCCTACGCCTCGACACACGGCAAACCTACCAGTGCCGGAACCAATGCCACAAACAATAAGACGAAACTTGCCAAGAATGGCACGACCAAATCAGACCTAGTAGCTGGTGAGTGCATCGTCACAAGCACTCAGCCCCGAAAGATGATTCAGTACTCTCAATCCCCCGTACGCCTCGACACACAACAAGCCTACCAGAGCCGCAACCAATGCCACAAACAATAAAACAAAACTTGCCAAGAACGGCACGACCAAATCAGCTCTAGTAGCTGGTAAGTGCATCGTCACAAGCACTCAGCCCCGAAAGATGATTCAGTACTCTCATCACCAGTCGCACCAGGCATGCCTGCTCAAACCAGAGTGTCAACCCCCCGTACGCCTCGACAAACGGCAAACCTACCAGTGCCGCAACCAATGCAACAAGCAATGGGACAAAACTTGCCAAGAATCGCGCGACCAAATCAATTCTAGTAGCTGGTAAGTGCATCGTCACAAGCACTCAGCCCCGAAAGATGATTCAGTACTCCCTCATCACCGGTCGCACCAGCCATAGGCATGCCTGTTCAAACCAGAGTGCCAATATCCAGTAAACCTCAACACACAACCAACGTACCCGTGCCACAAGCAATGCCACAAACAATAAGACAAAACTTGCCAAGAATGGCACGACCAAATCAGCTCTAGTAGCTGGTAAGTGCATCGTCACAAGCACTCAGCCCCGAAAGATGATTCAGTACTCTCATCACCGGTCGCACCAGGCATGCCTGCTCAGACCAGAGTGTCAACCCCCCTACGCCTCGACACACGGCAAACCTACCAGTGCCGGTACCAATGCCACAAACAATAAGACGAAACTTGCCAAGAATGGCACGACCAAATCAGCTCTAGTAGCTGGTAAGTGCATCGTCACAAGCACTCAGCCCCGAAAGATGATTCAGTACTCTCATCACCAGTCGCACCAGGCATGCCTGCTCAAACCAGAGTGTCAACCCCCCGTACGCCTCGACACACGGCAAACCTACCAGTGCCGCAACCAATGCAACAAAAAAAAAGACAAAACTTGCCAAGAATGGCACGACCAAATCAGCTCTAGTAGCTGGTAGGTGCATCGTCACAAGCACTCAGCCCCGAAAGATGATTCAGTACTCTCATCACCGGTCGCACCAGGCATGCCAGTTCACACCAGATTGTCAATCTCCCTATTCCTCGAAACACAACAAGCCTACCAGTGCCGCAACCAATGCCACAAACAATAAGACGAAACTTGCCAAGAATGGCACGACCAAATCAGCTCTAGTAGCTGGTAAGTGCATCGTCACAAGCACTCAGCCCCGAAAGATGCTTCAGTACTCTCATCACCGGTCGCAGCAGGCATGCCTGTTAACAGCAGATTGTCAATCTCTCGTATGCCTCGACACACAACAAGACGACAACAGCCGCAAGCCGCAAACAGTGACACAAGACTTGCCAAGAATGGCGCGACCAAATCAGCTCTAGTAGCTGGTGAGTGCATCGTCACAAGCACTCAGCCCCGAAAGATGATTCAGTACTCTCATCACCGGTCGCACCAGGCATGAATGTTCACACCACATTGTCAATCTCCCATATTCCTCGACACACAACAAGCCTACCGGAGCCGCAACCAATGCCACAAACAAAAAGACAAAACTTGCCAAGAATGGCACGACCAAATCAGCTCTAGTAGCTGGTAAGTGCATCGTCACAAGAACTCA